TAAAGATAGAAATGTTAAAAGCAGGTGGGGATATAGTTTTGGAGTGGTTGGTGCAATTATTTAATAAATGTATGGAAGAGGGTAAGGTACCTAGGGATTGGCAGAGAGCATGCATAGTTCCTTTGTATAAAGGCAAAGGGGATAAAAGAGAGTGCAAAAATTATAGGGGGATAAGTCTGTTGAGTGTACCTGGTAATGTGTATGGTAGAGTTATAATTGAAGAATTAAGAGTAAGACGGAGAATAGGATAGCAGATGAACAAGGAGGCTTTAGGAAAGGTAGGGGGTGTGTGGACCAGGGGTTTACAGTGAAACATATAAGTGAACAGTATTTAGATAAGGCTAAAGAGGTCTTTGTGGCATTTATGGATTTGGAAAAGGCGTTTATGACAGGGTGGATAGGGGGGCAATGTGGCAGATGTTGCAAGTGTATGGTGTAGGAGGTAGGTTACTGAAAGCAGTGAAGAGTTTTTACGAGGATAGTGAGGCTCAAGTTAGAGTATGTAGGAAAGAGGGAAATTATTTCCAGTAAAAGTAGGCCTTAGACAAGATGTGTGATGTCACCGTGGTTGTTTAATATATTTATAGATGGGGTTGTAAGAGAAGTAAATGCGAGGGTCTTGGCAAGAGGCGTGGAGTTAAAGATAAAGAATCACACACAAAGTGGGAGTTGTCACAGCTGCTCTTTGCGATGACACTGTGCTCTTGGGAGATTCTGAAGAGAAGTTGCAGAGATTGGTGGAGAATTTGGTATAGGGTGTGCAAAAGAAGAAAATTAAAGGTGAATACAGGAAAGAGTAAGGTTATGAGGATAACAAAAAAGATTAGGTGATGAAAGATTGAATATCAGATTGGAGGGAGAGAGTATGGAGGAGGTGAACGTATTCAGATATTTGGGAGTGGACGTGTCAGCGGATGGGTCTATGAAAGATGAGGTGAATCATAGAATTGATGAGGGAAAAAGAGTGAGTGGTGCACTTAGGAGTCTGTGGAGACAAAGAACTTTGTCCTTGGAGGCAAAGAGGGGAATGTATGAGAGTATAGTTTTACCAACGCTCTTATATGGGTGTGAAGCGTGGGTGATGAATGTTGCAGCGAGGAGAAGGCTGGAGGCAGTGGAGATGTCATGTCTGAGGGCAATGTGTGGTGTGAATATAATGCAGAGAATTCGTAGTTTGGAAGTTAGGAGGAGGTGCGGGATTACCAAAACTGTTGTCCAGAGGGCTGAGGAAGGGTTGTTGAGGGTTGTTGAGGTGTGGTGTAATATTATGCAGAAAATTCGGAGTGTGGAAATTAGGAAAAGGTTTGGAGTTAATAAAAGTATTAGTCAGAGAGCAGAAGAGGGGTTGTTGAGGTGGTTTGGTCATTTAGAGAGAATGGATCAAAGTAGAATGACATGGAAAGCATATAAATCTATAGGGGAAGGAAGGCGGGGTAGGGGTCATCCTCGAAAGGGTTGGAGAGAGGGGGTAAAGGAGGTTTTGTGGGCAAGGGGCTTGGACTTCCAGCAAGCGTGCATGAGCGTGTTAGATAGGAGTGAATGGAGACGAATGATACTTGGGACCTAACGATCTGTTGGAGTGTGAGCAGGGTAATATTTAGTGAAGGGATTCAGGGAAACTGGCTATTTTCATATAGTCAGACTTGAGTCCTGGAAATGGGAAGTACAATGCCTGCACTTTAAAGAAGGGGTTTGGGATATGTTGTGTATCTTTATATGTGTGTGCTTCTAAACTGTTGTATTCTGAGCACCTCTGCAAAAACAGTGATAATGTGTGAGTGTGGTGAAAGTGTTGAATGATGATGAAAGTATTTTCTTTTTGGGGATTTTCTTTCTTTTTTTTTGGGTCACCCTGCCTCGGTGGGAGACGGCCGACTTGTTGAAAAAAAAAAAAAAAAAATTCACTTCTTCCATACTACTCCTCCTCAATTTGATATCCAATTTTTCTTCATCTAAATCATTTGATACCCTCATCACCTTACTCTTTTCTATGTTCACTTTCAACTTTCTACCTTTACACACACTCCCAAATTCGTCCACTAACCTTTGCAATTTTTCTTCAGAATCTCCCATAAGCACAGTATCATCAGCAAAAAGTAACTGTGTCACTTCCCATTTTGTATTTAATTCCCCATAATTTAATCCCACCCCTCTCCCGAACACCCTAGCATTTACTTCTTTTACAACCCCATCTATAAATATATTAAACAACCATGGTGACATTACACATCCCTGTCTAAGACCTACTTTTACCGGGAAGTAGTCTCCCTCTCTTCTACACACCCTAACCTGAGGCTCACTATCCCCATAAAAACTCTTTACAGCATTTACTAACTTACCACCTATTCCATATACTTGCAACAGACTTATTTCCCTATAATTTTTGTACTCTCTTTTGTTCCCTTTGCCTTTATACAATGGAACTATACATGCTCTCTGCCAATCCCTAGGTACCTTACTCCTTTCCATACATTTATTAAATAAAAGCACCAACCACTCCAAAACTATATCCCCACCTGCTTGTAAATGTAATAAAAATAAATAATACTAATGAAAACTACATACAGTGGTACCTTGATGTACAAGTTTCATTCGTTCTGTGACCAAGCTCGTAACTCAATTTGCTCGTATATCACATAAATTTTTCCCAATGAAATTAACTGAAATGCCATTAATCCGTTCCGGCCCCCCCAAAAAACACCCCATTTTTTTTGTCAAAAACTCTATCGCTTAAACGCTCAAATTACTTGCTACACTCTTCACTACTCCACCCACCACCTTCACTACTCCACCCACCATTATCACTACTCCACCCACTACTATCACTTCTCTGCCCACCATTATCACTACTCCACCCACTACTATCACTACTCCACCCACCATTATCACTACTCCACCCACCACCATCTCTACTGCACCCACGACCATATCTACTCCACCCACCATTATCACTACTTCATCCACAACCATCACTACTTCACCCACCTCCATCACTACTCTGCCCACCACCATCACTACACCACTCACTGAAGGAACCTCTGTGAGGCAGGTAAATATCACAGAGGCTTTCCTTAATGTTTCTAGAAAAACTCAAGAGTTGAAATGGAGGTTACCTCTTCCCCGGATTTATACGAGAACCAAACACGGGACGAGGCACCTCACTACAATCTGAGATTGGTGTGGGAGTATTATCCTTCCAGTTAGGTCTTGGAAGAGCATGTGGGATGGGGCAAAGTACCTGACATTCCTCTGGGCACAGAGTTGGATTTGACTTCATATACACCGCCAACTAGTGGCGGTGTATCTGAAACTCACTCATAACTCGGATTTTGGCTCGCAACCCAAAGCAAAAAATCAACCGAGCAATGGCTTGTAACTTGGAAAACTCGTAAGTTGGGGCACTCGTAAGTCAAGGTACCACTGTATCTGGATTAACTTTTTTCCCAACAATTTGGCCATCTCCCACCGAAGCAGAGTGACCCAAAAAAGAAACACTTTCACCATCATTCACACAATCATTTCAGTGCTATGCAAAATTATCACTCTGCAATATTAAACATTAAGCAGTGCAAATTCAATGCACCACAGAAAAGTAAAGTGCATATACTTTCTTTTTTTTTGTTTGTGTGTTTTACAATCCTACATAAATGAAAAAGTCCAAAGCAAGGTTAACAAGAATCTTCCCAAACCCAGCTTAAGGATTAACCCTTTGATTGTTTCGGTCGTATATATACGTCTTACGAGTTGCTGTGTTTGATGTATATATGTACTCACAAATTCTAGCGGCTTCAAATCAAGCAAGAGAAAGCTGGTAGGCCCACATGTGAGAGAATGGGTCTGTGTGGTCAGTGTGCACCATATAAAAAAAATCCTGCAGCACGCAGTGCATAATGAGAAGAAAAAAACTCCAACCGTTTATTTTAATTAAAATGCCGACTTTGTGGTCTATTTTCATATAGTATTTATGGTTATATTCTCGTTTTCTTGGCATTGTTTGATAGAATGGAAAACATATTATAGAAATAGAGGTGATTTTGATTGGTTTTACTATGAAAAGAACCTTGAAATGAAGCTCAAAGTAGGGGAAATGTTTGAATTTTGCTGATGTTCAAAAGTAAACAAATGATGTCATTGTCCAATAAATGTCCAACTAGCTATTCTAATATGCAGTCATGAATAGGTTGACATTATTTATACAATTATCACAATATTGCAGTAGTCTGCATAACAGTAAATCTATTTTTTGTTTGAATAAAAATTCAAAATGGAAAGCAAGAGTAATATCAGAGGGGCCAGGAGATGTGACTGATGAACAAAGAAAATGTTATTTTAGAGCCAGGAATGTTTGCAGTGTTCATTCTGGACCCTATTTTGAAATTGTCATATTTTTCAATTTTCATGAAATTGGCCAAATTGCAAATTTCTGACCATGTTATTGGGTAGTTGAAATCGGTAAATGGGCAGTTTCTTGTATTCAATCGATAGAAAAAATAGAGTTCTAAAGAAATAGCTATGAGTTTGGTTGACTGGAACAATGGAATTAGCCGAAAATAGGGCCCAAAGTGGGCGAAGTCGCCGATTCATAAATATCGCCGAGGTCGCTAACTTCGCGAGAACGTAATTCCGTCAGCTTTCCATCAAATTTCATTCTTTTGGTGTCAATACCATAGGGAAAAGATGCTCTATCATTTCATAAGAATTTTTTTTGTTTTTTTTTTTTAATTTTTCGACACCAGGAGACACCTCAGTATTTGGGGTTTTGACAGTCATAGGGTTAAGAATACAATAGATTTAGGATGCATAAATGCAGCTGGACATTGTTGTGTTAGAGGACTTTTACTTCCATTTACACAGAATAAAAAGGTTATATTTTACTCTAATGAAGGGTGGCTTGTGCACACTTTTCTCCAGAAAATTTTCTTCTCATACTTGAGACAGAAAATATTTCAATGACATATTTTCTTAACCTATTGATAAGCTAACCAAATGTAGCTCCTTACTTGATGTGCTCTGCATATTAAATCCAAGTCATGTCGATTCAAGAATTTACTGACAACATCAGCTCCAAATGTGAAGGAAACTCCTCGATCATTCTCACCCCAACCTTGCACATCCTTGTCTGGGTCTGACCATAATAAATCACACAGTAGGCCTGGATAAGGAAGATTAATAAAAATATTAAAGAAATAATGGATAAACAGTGGAAATCTAAAAATCGGTCAAGCTATACCATTCAGATTTTTACCTGAAAATTCAGATCTGTAACTTAGGTTACAAAATTAAGTACGCACCAGTGTCAGGTACGTCTGTGGGCCTCATGATTCGACGGATCTGTTCCATACTCTGTAGATCGGGACTTAAGCCTCCATGACAGCAGAATATCTTCTCATCAATAATAGCAGCAATGGGAAGACAATTGAAGCAGTCTGTGAATGTCTTCCATAGTTTGGTACCATACCTTCGCCGACCTAACAATTGTAAATTATTACATGAGATTTTATATTTTACATTGGCCGGTCTCAAGGTAGGGAAACATGACCATGGATTAATGTACTGTTCACTCTGATGAAATATTTGCCTCAATTCTGTACTTAAAATCCTATCAGTAATAGTTAAAAGAAGCTTCAATTTTTTATCAGAGAAATTTTTTAGAATAATTTATATATGTACAGGAGGGCCCCACTTTACAGTTCTTCACTTTATAGCAATTTGCTAATACGGACATTTCACATTAGTATACCCAAAAATTCATTTATACAGCTCTTGATTTGTTATTACAATATCCAAGCACCACCTGTTCACTCTCAGTTTGTTTACATCCTCCATGAGATCTGCATCTCTCTCGATTATCTGGAAACTTTCCAAAGTTTAAAGTGTATTAAAGTTATTGTGTAAGAATGGTATATAATACCGACAAGATGAAATTAAGACACATATGCAACATCTGGGTATCTTTATTGTAGACGTTTTGCCATCCAGTGGCTTTATCAATACAAATTCTAGGACATAACTTGAAGACAGTAGAACTATGTACAGAAGATGAGGTAATCAGTCCCTCAACCTAGGAGTAGGTGCGAAGAGCACCATAGTCGTGGAGATTCTGAAGCAGAAGAAAGGAGCCTGGCGCTTATATAGTAACGTCAGGTGTAGCAGATGAGGGCATAGTCACTGGTAGGCGGGATTCCCCAGTGGAAGTAGGTCCTTCCCAAAGAGATGGGTTAGGGACTGATTACCTCATCTTCTGTACATAGTTCTACTGTCTTCAAGTTATGTCCTAGAATTTGTATTGATAAAGCCACTGGATGGTGAAACATCCACAATAAAGATACCCAGATGTTGCACATGTGTCTTAATTTCATCTTGTTGGTATTATATACCATTCTTACATAACTTGTCAGACACTGCAACATCATGGAATCTTGATTCTGAGGACATGTACATAACCTTCACGACTACGACAACTACTACTACAACTAACCCATCTCTTTGGGAAGGACCTACTTCCACTGGGGAATCCCGCCTATCAGTGACTATGCCCTCGTCTGCTACACCTGACGTTACTATTTAAGCGCCAGGCTCCTTTCTTCTGCTTCAGAATCTCCACGACTATGGTGCTCTTCGCACCTACTCCTAGGTTGAGGGACTGATTACCTCATCTTCTGTACATAGTTCTACTGTCTTCAAGTTATGTCCTAGAATTTGTATTGATAAAGCCACTGGATGGCGAAACGTCTACAATAAAGATACCCAGATGTTGCACATGTGTCTTAATTTCATCATTAAAGTTATTACATATTTTATATATACTCTGTGTTATAATGACATCTAAGCATAAATGTGATAAAAAAAATAGTAGTTGCCAGGCTCTTAATTTAAGTGCAGTTAGAAATGCTTAAACTCGGTGAGCAAGATATGTCTATGGCTGACATAGTACTGAGATACTAGTGATAATTATACTTATGTGTACCTGTAACTAAATAAACTTACACACTGTACTGGCATGCAGGTACATTAAAATCACTATCTGACATTGTTAAAAAGTAGGTGTAGCTATACCAGGCAAGGGAGTAGCTAAGAGTGTCTCAATAGTGCTGAAGATGCAATAAGCATTATAATAATAATAAGCTACATATCACAAAAACAAAATACATACATACAATCATAATAAAATAAACTGACATAATTGTGAGGTGTGGTAGCCAGGAGGGCATAAAGGAGTGTACAACAATAATTACTACAACAAGTTTTCTCTAGTACAAAACCACCAGAGAAACTGTATAGTATTACTGGGGGGGTAACTGTAGAAAAACATTCCTTTCATATACCTTCACTCATAGCATCCTTCATTCTAAAAACGGTTTGTTGCACGAGAATGCAACACACCATTTGTAGAGCGAATGTTATGTATTCTATTGCACCAGCGTGAAGAGAACTTGTACACAATGTAAGGTATTTGTGTTGTAGGGAAAACACTTCACAATCGTATGTATAATGCAAGTGAACACACAACGCGCCCAGCAACCATCCACCCATAACACTGATACCATATACACATTTATGGAGCACCCTCCCCATGGTGTTTTATAATAATAATAATAAAATAATAATAATCTTTATTTCTACAAGTGAAACTGGGTGTTGCTGTGAGCTCTGCATCTCTCTTTAAAACACCTGAAACTGCAGAAAGTTTCTGTCTGGAACAGTGGTGGCTTGTAGCTAAAATTAGTGGAAGTGCCGCTACAGAAAATTTTTAGCCATTGTTTTAATATCGTGTAAAATAAAAAAAACGAAAAAACTACAAATTAAATAAAATAGCTGGAAGCATGATAATCGTCTAATTCTGCATATTCTCACGTTCAAGAATATGGTACACCCATGGTTTTTAAGCACAACACACGTCACTGAGTCAAAAAGAAACACTACCTCACACTTGCACAATAGGGTCTGCACTGCGTCAGTGACAGTGCTCTCTCTCTACCTAGCGTGCAGCGTCTTATCTCGAACATGTGCACATGCACATAAGTCAAACACCAAGCTGCTGGAACTGTGAAGCGCACAGCTCCATACGAGGATTTTTGTAATTTTTTAAAGTACTAGGGGATTGCTATTGACATTAAGCTTAAGGATTATATAATGTACAAGTATAAAATAGGGAGGAGGAGTATGGAAGAAGTGAATGTTTTCAGATACTTGGGAGTTGACATGTCGGCGGATGGATTTATGAAGGATGAGGTTAATCATAGAATTGATGAAGGAAAAAAGGTGAGTGGTGCATATATGTGGAGTCAAAAAATGTTATCTATGGAGGCAAAGAAGGGAATGTATGATAGTAGTAGTACCAACACTCTTATATGGGTGTGAAGTTTGGGTTGTGAATGCAGCAGCGAGAAGGCGGTTGGAGGCAGTGGAGATGTCCTGTCTAAGGGCAATGTGTGGTGTAAATATTATGCAGAAAATTCGGAGTGTGGAAATTAGGAGGTATGGAGTTAATAAAAGTATTAGTCAGAGGGCTGAAGAGGGGTTGTTGAGGGGGTTTGGTCATTTAGATAGAATGGATCAAAGTAAAATGACATAGAGAGCATTTAAATCTTTAGGAGAAGGAAGGCGGAGTAGGGGTCATCCTTGAAAAGGTTGGAAGGAAGGGGTAAGGAAGGTTTTGTGGGCGAGGGGCTTGGACTTCCAGCAGGCGTGCATGAGCGTGTTCGATAGGAGTGAATGGAGACGAATGGTATTTGGGACCTGACGATCTGTTGGAGTGTGAGCAGGGTAATATTTAGTGAAGGGATTCAGGGAAACCGGTTATTTTTATATAGCCAGACTTGAGTCCTGGAAATGGGAAGTACAATGCCTGCACTCTAAAGGAGGGGTTTTGGGATATTAGCAGTTTGGAGGGATATGTTGTATCTTTATACGTATATGCTTCTAAACTGTTGTTCTGAGCACCTCTGAAAAAACAGTGATTATGTGTGAGTGAGGTGAAAGTGTTGAATGATGATGAAAGTATTTTCTTTTTGGGGATTTTCTTTCTTTTTGGGTCACCCTGCCTCAGTGGGAGACGGATGACTTGTTGGGGGGAAAAAAAAGTATAAAGAAAGAATTAAAGAAAAAAAAAATGTTATAATGAATGTTATTGATAACATCGAGTGAAAATAGGAGGTGTTGCAATTCCGCAGTGCCTATACACAAGCCGCCACTAGTCTGGAAACTTTCTGAAGCTTCAAGTGTTGTAAAGTTATTAAGTCATAAGGCTCTTTCTTTAAATGAACTCTAAAGGAGAAAGTGTTGCAGGAAATTAAAATGCTACACCAATGAACACTAAAGTTACAGGAAAACATGATAACCTTATTGCTGACATAGAAAAACTTTTACTTGTGTGATCGAAAGTCACACTAGTCACAACATGTCTTTAAGCCAAGCCATTATCCAGTACAAAGTCCTAAGTCTCTTCAATTCTATGAGGCTGAGAGAGATGAAGATGTTGCTGAAGATAAATTCAAAGCTAGCAGTGGCTGGTTTCAATTCTTCCTGACTTCCAACAATAAATACTACTCACTTCTCACCCAATGTTAAGGGTGAGAAGCGGGTTAGGCCTAGTTCTAGTGCTAAGTTAATATATGACAGTGTAAACACGTGATCAGGCATTTATATATGTACATTTAAAAGTGAAAAAAAAAGGGCGATTCGCTTTATGGGGATTTTCGGTTTACTGTGGTAGCCTGGAACCAAACCCGGCTAAAGGCGGGGGCCCTCCTGTGTATAAAATGTAAAACATCCATATGTAATTATAGTAATCCAACACCAGTGTTCAGCAGCTCACCACAATAGCTCTAGAAACTCACACTCATCAAAGAAACCATAAATTCTGTTGATTGATGCACACTCGTGGTTGCCTCGTAGCAGGAAGAAGTTCTCTGGATACTTGATCTTGTATGCTAATAGAAGGCAGATGGTCTCTAAAGATTGCTTCCCACGATCTACATAGTCTCCAAGGAACAAGTAGTTGGACTCTGGAGGGAAGCTGCCATATTCAAACAGACGCAGTAAATCTGTATACTGTCCGTGGATATCACCTGAAGAATGGGTTTTAATTAGCAAACTTGTACTACAAAACTTGGAGTTAATTAACAACTAGTTGCATTATTGTTTCTTGGCAATCAAACTGTATACACTCATGTGCAGTACATATATTTTTGAAAGAGCTCTATTCAGCATAATCTTATTAAAAATTGTAGAGTATATAATTTTATCTCAAGAGCTCTCTCACCAAGACATGATGACCAAAAAGAGGAAACAGCCACTGTCATTCATTCATTTGCGGCCTTTCCAGAAGTGTGATGACATTACAATTACCCCCCTTCCCCTCCTTTGGCTGCAACATCCCTATCCCTCATCATTCAGAGTGCAGGTACTTCCCTTTCCACCTCTAGCTAACCAGTTTAATTTAATCCCTTTGTGTTACCTGGCTCTCAGTGTACATCAATACATACAGCGTCTGGGAAAATTATTAATTTTCTTACACTAATATTTACCCAATATTACTCACAAAAACACTATTTCAACAATGTATGTATTTATTCAACTCATGGAGGTACTTCAATTTTAACACACCAATAAAAAGCCTTGAGCCATTCATTTGTCTTCTAGCACTAATATTAATTTTCACAGTTGTCACATTCTAATGTCAATTGCTAATAATATAAAATACTGTATAACCAATGAGAGATCTGCCACAGGAAACAGAATGTCAGAGAATAATAGATGCTTAATTTTTTTTCTTCAGGCAGTTAACAAAGAACCACATGTGTTCTTTGGAATCAACACTTGTTTCACAAGCCACAGTTAACTGCACTTTACTTAATATGTTAATAGTCACACAAAATGCTCTAAATGCAGAAAAAATTAGAGACAGTGATGAGTGTATGCGTGAGTGAGCAAAACCAAACTGACACTGGTGGCCTACAGCTCAAGGAACAATAAAAACAGACAGGTCCTGGACCGGTCACTTTGGCCCACACCGGACAAATGTCGAAGTTAGCAGACCTGACCCGATACTTCAGAAGATAACTATCACTACAGACAAAATGTGTAATTATGGATTTTTGTTTATTTTTTTTTTATCATCACACTGGCCGATTCCCACCAAGGCAGGGTGGCCCGAAAAAGAAAAACTTTCACCATCATTCACTCCATCACTGTCTTGCCAGAAGGGTGCTTTACACTACAGTTTTTAAACTGCAACATTAACACCCCTCCTTCAGAGTGCAGGCACTGTACTTCCCATCTCCAGGACTCAAGTCCGGCCTGCCGGTTTCCCTGAATCCCTTCATAAATGTTACTTTGCTCACACTCCAACAGCACGTCAAGTATTAATCTTTTTTAGTAAATGTCTACAGGAGAAGGGGTTACTAGCCCATTGCTCCCGGCATTTTAGTCGCCTCATACGACACGCATGGCTTACGGAGGAAAGATTCTTTTCCACTTCCCCATGGACAATAGAAGAAATAAAGAAGAACAAGAGCTATTTAGAAAACGGAGAAAAACCTAGATGTATGTATATATATATATGCATGTGCGTGTCTGTGAAGTGTGACCAAAGTGTAAGTAGGAGTAGCAAGATATCCCTGTTATCTAGCGTGTTTATGAGACAGAAAAAGAAACCAGCAATCCTACCATCATGCAAAACAGTTACAGGTTTTTGTTTCACAGTCATCTGGCAGGACGGTAGTACTTCCCTGGGTGGTTGCTGTCTACCAACCTACTACCTAGGTTTATTCTGTCCACTAATTAGAGCAATTGTCTGACCAGATTTTCTCCAAGATTGCCAAAATCCATTAATGAGAGGTTTTACTGCAATTTTTCTAACTAGAATTCACTGATATAAAAAAAGATAATCTTACCACAGATTTTTAAAGGAGCTTCAAGTTCAAGGAGGATGGGCTGCTGTAGAAAAATTTCCCGGGACTTGAGACATAGACCTCGAACCTCTGCTTCTGTCATCTGTACGCTTTTTCCTGGCCGACATCCTCGCACTACGGATAGAATCATAATGACAATGACAGTAAATGAATAAGAGCATACATACGCATGTACACATCAATGGAATATTGCCAGTAATAAATATGTACATGCTATGTAAACTTGGCAAAAGTTTTCAGGAACCTTAAGAAATGAGATGTAAGGAAACTAGAGATGTTTACATGTGAGCTTTGCACAGTTCAATATTATAAATACATAAAATACTGGCTGAAGATGTGTACCATTGTTGCACACAAGATTTCACCCATGGCACAGTGAGTAAGGCAGGGGCCTTACTCACTGAAAATGACCTAGTAGTAGCCAAGGTTAACAGCTGTGGTGTTTTAAGTTAAGTAGCAATACTTCCTACTGAGACAAAATCAGCTGGCATTACTATTTTCATGCTGCCAGAGAAACATCTCAGCACCAGAAAATTACTTACCCTGGCAGTACATCAAGTCTTGTATGTATATGAATGACATACAATACCGACAAGATGATGAATTAGATGCTTTGTAGACTTTTTGCCATCCAGTGGCTTTATCAATACAATACATACATGGATATAATCTGAAGACTAGAAATATACAGAAGGACTCCCATATCTGCAGGGGTATGTTTCAAGACCTACCATGGCTACCCTAAACCGCAGATAGTAGCGAACCCTGCAAGTCATTTTTCATTTACACACATATCTATGATAAAGTTTAATTGATAAATTATACACAATAAGTGGAGAATTAGCACTTTTTCATTGATGGGAAGCACTTCAAGGCTTCTCTTAGGTTTTGAAAAACTGCTATCATAGCTATTTTGGTGCCATTAATAAAAATAATAATAATAATAATAATAATAATAATAATAATAATAATAATATAATAATAATAATAATAATAGTAGAATTATTATTATTATTAATAATAATAATAATAATAATAATAATAATAATAATAATAATAATAATAATAATAAAAATAATAATAATAAAAATAATAATAATAAAAATAATAACAATAACAATAATATTATTTCTACAAGTATATGTACAAGGTATACAGGCCTGGCTGACATCAATGACACACTACTACACAGAAAGCTGCTTGTTATGCAGAGCATTTCAGGCAAATTTGGTCAGTTTTGTCCCAGGATACAACTCACACCAGTCTACTAACACCGAGGTACCCATGTTACTGATGGAGAACATAGACAACCGGTGTAAAAAAAAAAAAACACCCAATGTTCCTACCCTCGCCGGAAATCGAACTTGGACCCTCGCCGGAAATCGAACTCGGACCCTCGCCGTGTGAAGCGAAAGCTTTATTATTATTATAATCAAAAAGAAGTGCTAAGCCACAAGGGCTATACAGCAGCGAAAGCTTTAGCCACCAGGCCATGGGGTAAAATTAAGGGTTATTTTCAAACTACAGTATACAGCAGACAACTGAAACCATGGAAACCAGACCCGTGGATATGGAGGTCCTACTGTATACAGAAGACAGTGGAAGATGAGGCAATCAGTCTCTCAGCCTAGGAGCAGGTGATGAGCATCATAGTCTTAAGAATCTGAAGCACAGGCAGGAAGATTGGTGCTTGTATATTGGAGTCAATCAGGTGAAGCAGACAAATGTATTGCCACTGGCAGGCAGGATTCCACAGTGGAAGCAGATTATGCCCAAGTGTTGGACCAGGCATTAGCATGTACAGGCAGGCCCCACTTTACTGCACTTCGCTTTATGGCATTTTGCTAATGCAGCGGTTTTCAATTATACCCAATCTTCATTTATTCAGACTTCCTACAAAAAATAGTCACCACTCACTATATGCTAAGGATGAAAATAGTTTAAGGTAAGTAATGCATGTACTGTATATTTCAGGTACAGGTACACACAAATACAGTTACATAAATTATCATATATAACAGTATGTGCAGATTACCTAGGATAATCCAAAAAGAGTCAAAGTGACTTATTTCCATTGGGCTCCTTGTTATTATAATCAAAGTGCTAAACTGACAAGGGTCATGCAGTGCTTTGAGCTCCTTGTAAAAATATGGGAATGAAGGGCATTTAGGTTTGATCCAAGGAAGGGGAGGATAAGTTTAGTTCCTTAGATCAAGAGCCCCTCATTGCCATTCTGGCACCTCCCTTGAAGGGCAATTATCGAGTAGCTTTAGAAGTAGGCTAGACAATTATTTTTTTTTTCAACGACCCAGCTGTATCCCCTGAGGCAGGGTGACTTAAAAAAATTTTTTTTTCCTTTTTAAAGTTAGTAATTCATACAGAAGTTATTAGCCCCTTGCTCCCAGCATTTTCGTTGCCTTTCACAATACACATGGCTTATGGAGGATGAATTCTTTTCCACTTCCCCATGGAGTATTAGTAGTAATATTATTATTATTGTATTAAGAGATAAGTGCTATTCCCAAAGTGGCAATACAGTACCCAGGGAATGGGAAGGAATCAGGTTCAATCCAAGAAATGGGAGTGACAGGTCCAATTCCTTGGATTAAGACCACACCATCATCAAAGACCTTAATTAACTTGAGGGAGGCTAGACAAATACATAAATGGAAATGAGTGGGTGAGAGTGGCATACCAAGGACAACAGTTTTATTACAGTGCTCAGCTATTTTTATGATGTAGTTCTCTAGTGTCCTTTACTACAGTCATAAGTACACTTCACTGCCTAGCTGACAGTCAGATATATGTATAAATATGTCTTAAGTTAAGCTTGTTGGCGGAGTCCCGAGGTGACAGTCTCAAGGATCTGCAGATACTGCGTCATGTTAGTCTTTGTTAATGGCTCGTCGACAACCACATTCCTCTCACACTGCTCACATCTCAAAAACTCTGCATTTTCTCATTTTCCTGGCACAGGCTTGGCTAAAATGGGTCAGGAAGGTCCAGCCCAGGTCAAAACACCCCAACCCTGAATTCTGACCCAGCAATTTCTCGCCGTTTTATGAGGCTGTAAAGCTTGCAATGCACATTTCGATGCATCTCAAATGTTAGCAAAGATCGCGAGGTGTTACTTACAATAAACTTGCACGACTTACCCTCTAGTAAGCGAGAAATTAAGTTATCAACGTCCAGCTCTGTGTCGGCCATCTTGCAAAATTTTGTCACTAGTGAGAATCCTCGGATGAGACTTGGGATGAGTTTTCTCTTCCTTTTATAACTCCACCAGAATGAAAAACAAAGTTATATCATTTAAACATTTTATTACTAAATCCCAATATGCGAGCGGGAAGATGGTATATTTGCATTGCTGAGCTGATTATTCTCACTTGTGATTATCACAGAAAAATTAAGGGATTCGAACGAAATATAAATGCTGGAGGATAAATATAAATTAAAAAAAAGAACATCACTAGCTGTACAAATACACAAATCTTTCAGAATTTTACAATAATATGATGTGAATATTGTGTTCCGTTTAAGTGTTACTCGTTACTTATACACAACAGCTGATAACGTAAACAATATAGTAATACTTTTTATAATATTTTTTGGGTTATTCGTTACTTTGTATTTGGACTTAAAATTTGTGTACTGACATGCTATGATATTTCATTAAAATTCACTGTGAATTTAATTTTATTTATGGAACTGTAGGGACACCCTAGCATAGTGCATCATATCACGTTTGTGTCTATTATGACTACATGTATATGCAATATTGTCATTTTTTTATTTGTAAATGTATATTACTTGTTTGTACTGTATAGTAATACAGTACTTCCGTATAAGACTTAATCTTTTAATATAAAGAGCTATCAGCAATCTCATTATTTTAATAGGCAATATCATTATTTAATAGGCCATATTTTTAGTAAGAATGGTAGAACTACTGACAACTAATGTGACTTTTTACTGTGGCAACGTTTCGCTCTCCAAGAGCTATATCAAGCGAAACGTTGCCACTATAAAATGTCACATTACTTGCACCTGTGTCCATTTACCTTTATTTTCAGTGCTGTGACCCCCATCACAACAAACTTTACTTAGTCTCTAAAATAGCACCCCTCAAGGAAGGTTCCTTGATGTTGGTGAGGGGCTCTTGATTTAGTGAATTGGATCTGTACTCCAGTTCCCCGAATTAAGCCTGAATGTCTTCCACATCCCCCCCCAGGCGCTGTATAATCCTCCGGATTTAGCGCTTCCCCCTTGATTATAATAATAATAATCTAAAATAGCATGAATTAAAACATTAATATTTAAATGTTTTGTCATTGACATAATTCCTCAGAGCAGTTTGGTGGATGGCACACAGTGGTACTGATGCAAATTAATGGATTTTTGAAGCCTTGGGAGGCACCTGAAAATGCCCTGGAAACTATACAGAAAAGGATAAATATAAGACTGAATTAATACTGCAAATGGGCCTACTGGCCCATGCTAGGCAGGTCCAATTCACACTCACTGATGTAGCTGACCAACCTATATTTTAAGCTGCCCAAAGATCTTGCATCAAGACAGTTATTTTTTATTCCCCTAAGTAAGTTTATTTAGGCACTAGTAGACATAAGTACAATTATCATACATAGTGTAAATTACCTAGGATAACCCAAAATGGTCAGAGTGACTTATTTCCATTAGGGGTCTTTGCTTATATCTTGTAATTAACAAATCTATTTTTCAATGTGAACTCAATCAAAAACACTTCTTGAAATTAAATACTGTAAAATGCAAAGTAGCCATCCACTATATTCTTGCAGCCTTTAGATGACTATCATAGTACCCTAATGAATTTGATATACATAATTTGGCTCATCAGAAGCTGAATTCTTTGATTAGCTGGTTTTTACTCTTCAGGTGTATTATCCAATTTGCTCTAATGAATTCTTGTAGTCTTATTTCAACAATGCTTGTTACTAAGTGGTATATAATTTAAAGTGTCTTTCCTGTCAACTTTTTTAAATATGAAGACATTGTGTGCCATTTTCCATTTGTCTGCCAGTTTACTTTATTCTCTAAACTTTTTTCCAGAATGTATATTCATTTGTGTGTGTGTGTGTGTGTGTGTGTGAGAGAGAGAGAGAGAGAGAGAGAGAGAGAGAGAGAGAGAGAGAGAGAGAGAGAGAGAAATATATATATATATATATATATATAGAGAGAGAGAGAGTAAGTGAGTGAGTGAGTGTGAGGAGTGAGTGCGAGAGAGTGAGTACATACATAAAAGAAGAATGAATTTGATGTTTTCACAGAAAAAAATTGTATAACTGAGTAAAAATCTGGGCAAAATAGTTTTAAACATTGAATAAATATATTTCAACAGTGTTTCTGAATAGTTTATGCATACATCTCCAGGCTAGAATGCTGGCCCTGTCTGGGGGAACAAAATTTGTACGAGGTCACAGCATCTGGCGGGGAAATTATTGGATAAATGCACAAGGCTTTCATTCCAGAGAACAAGACTATTCTGTAAGTTGCCTTATTTAGTTTTTTAATAAGCTACAGCTTATTGTATCTTATAACATGAGCAATTTGCACCAAGGTAGGGTGGCCATAAGAACAGTGGCAGCGTCAGAATTTCTGTACTGGGGGATTAGGTGTGGCTAGGGTGACTATCTGGTTGGTAGGTGGGTGGGGGGTAAGTAGGAGACTTGAAGCAGTATTATTATTATATACTATTAGTAGTTTTATTTAGGGCATTGAGGGGAAATTTTGAGGGTTGAAACCCCAAACCTTCCCTTGGCACTGCCCCTGCATAAGAAAGAAAGCCATTCACTTTTGCTCATTCAGTACCTGTCTTTCAAGAAATGTATACCCTTCACAATTTAAATGAGTTGAAATGCAACATCCCCCCTTATTCTTAAGAATGTAGGCACAGTGTTTTTTTTATCTCCAAGTTATAACACTGCAGTAAATGTAATAAACGCTTGGTATATTTTTTTCAAAGCATTACAATTTGATGAGTGCAGTACAAAGGCCAAGGTCACAGTATGCACATCATTTAGAGTACAATATAAATTTTTATTTTATAAGAATGTAATGCAACAGTATAGTATGAAAAATTGTAGGAGATTATTACTATAATATAATGCAATTAATTTTGCCTAATATTACTTGAAAAGGTTTATCTTTTCCAGCAATACTTTGAAGAACTGGGCCTTCAGAACAATTGTGATCAAGGAACTGTAAGAGATGCCTTCATTAAATTGGCCAAGAAATACCACCCAGATAGTGGACACCCTGAAGCTAATGCTGCAAAGTTCCAGCAGGTGAGGCTAATGCTGCAAATTTCCACCAGGTGAAGCTAATGCTGCAAAGTTCCAGCAGGTGAAGCTAATGTTGCAAAGTTCCAGCAGGTGAAGCTTGATTGTTGGCACACAAGCAAATTAACTCCATTCAGTATTCAGGATTTATTTTTCCTATACACTCATGTACAGTGGACCCCCGGTATTCGATATTAATCCGTTCCTGAGAGCTCATCGAATACCGAAAATATCGAAAAGCGAATCAATTTTCATCATAAGAAATAATGGAAATCAAATTAATCCGTGCAAGACACCCAAAAGTATGAAAAAAAATTTTACTACATGAAATATTAAGTTTAATGCAATAGAATAATTACAATAACAATAAAATAATTGACACTTACCTTTAATGAAGATCTGGTGATGATTGATGGGATGGGAGGAGGGGAGAGTGTGGATGGTGTTAGTGTTTAGAAGGGGAATCCCCTTCCATTAGGACTTGAGGTAGCAAGTCCTTTTCCGGGGTTACTTCCCTTCTTCCTTTAATGCCACTAGGACCAGCTTGAGAGTCACTGGATTTCTGTCGCACAACATATCTGTCCATAGTGGCCTGTACCTCCCGTTCCTTTAAGATTTGTCTAAAATGGGCCACAACATTGTCATTGTAATAGTCACCAGCACGGCTTGCAATAGCTGTGTTAGGGTGATTTTCATCCATAAAGGTTTGCAGTTCAACCTACACATTTCCTTAATCTTTGAAGTAGGCACAATGGATTCCACAACTGGCATAGGCTTCTCAGGGTTAGCCCCAAACCCTTCAAAATTTTTCTTAATTTCCATACTAATTCTCGCCCTTTTTACCACAGGGTTGGCACTAGAAGCTTTCTTGGGGCCCATGGTGACTTATTTTGCAGAAACAAGCACCAAAAACAGTGATAATATGGATAATATGGAATGTACCGAATGTATCCTTAGATGACTCACGAAATCGTAATGACACGATTGCAAACAAACCATACCCCGGCCGGGATTGAACCCGCGGTCATAGAGTCTCAAAACTCCAGCCCGTCGCGTTAGCCACTAGACCAGCTAGCCACAATAAGATTCGTCCAACTAGGTATATTTCTACACCATAGGAAGGTTAGCACAGGCACCTCTGTGACCACAAATGCAAGTCACAGTGGTGCCTGTGCTAACCTTCCTATGGTGTAGAAATATACCTAGTTTGATGAATCTTATTGTGGCTAGCTGGTCTAGTGGCTAACGCGACGGGCTGGAGTTTTGAGACTCTATGACCGCGGGTTCAATCCCGGCCGGGGTATGGTTTGTATCCTTAGATGCGTGCACAGTGGCTGGCTTGTAAACACTGGCACACACGGGGCAGTTCAGGCCACATGTGGACACGTCTCGTACGAATCGTATCAAATACCGGGTTTTCGATCGGATACCGAGGAAAAATTTTTGCGATATAATGCATCGAATACCGATGCCATCGAATACCGGGGGTCCACTGTATGTACTTATAAAAGGAGAAATATGTGCCCTTTTTTTCCTCAGATATACTGTAAATACAGTAATTATAAAATAAATTAGGAATAAATTTTTATTTCATTCTGTAATTTTTTTTTACCTCTTTCTAGTTTTACAATAAAATCTAACTGTATTATAAAATGTTTCTTTTATGTACCGTACTGGTAGTTACAAAGGTAAAAATAAATATTCAGATTCAGTGTAAAATTTGGGCTGATAAAGTAAGTTTTTATTCAAACCTTGTACATAATTTAAAATTTTTGCAGTGGTTTTACATACATTAGTACATTACTGAATATAGAATTTAACTTAGAATAACTCAGTAAAGTCATTTATCAGCAAAAAATCTATTTATTAATAAATAGTGTTGCACTATTGCTAAATTTTCCATTTTATGTCAGTAGTGAATGGAATTTGATGCATCTCTGCAAGACTTATCATAGAATACAGTAAGAGTCTCTTTCACAAATATTTACCAAAATCATAGGAAAATACCCATTAAAAATACTGTACCTAGTGTAACTTTATATTTTCCTCAATTTCACAGGTAGATTATGCCTATCGTAAGCTCCTAGATAAATTCACTAATGACAGAAGAAATCACAACAACTGCGAAGGTGAGTTTGGGCTATATTATGATCAGAAGAGAAGGATGCAGACTCCAGAACCTGAAGAAGAGGAAGATGATAAAACATATGATATTAAGGTAGCTTTTGCAATAGATTAGTACATTAATTTCTTTTTGGTGTACTATACTTATTTTCATCAGACATTGTGACTGTGACTGTGAATGCTGGTACTGTAAAAATACAGTAGAACCCCCCCCATCCATTTCCACTGATTCAGTATCTGCGGCTTCAGTTTTCCATGGTTTACTGTGGCTCAAGTAGAGAAGCTGGCAGTTCTTCAAAGTCTAAGAGAAGCCCTGAAGTGCCTCCCATCAGTGAAAAAGTGATAATTCTCCATTTATAGTGCACAATTTATGATTTAAACTTTATAATAGGTATGTATAGGACATATATATAGGGTTTGCTACTGTCCACGGCAAGTTCTTGGAACACATCCCCTACTGTATTTCCAGTGTTTTTTATTTTAGATTTTCTTGACTTTTCCAAACAAATTTCTCAGTATGTATATATAGTAGAAGTATCATTATCTCTGATATGTTGTTTCCCTAGGGAACAAATCATGTGTTGGTTGGTGTTGTAAAGAACCTTTAAACCTGAAACAGCTTTGCTAATTGTGACAAAGTTGAGGATCAAACTATGTAACAGTGTTGAAGGCTTGATTCTCTTTGCCTTTCACACTAAGAAGAGGATTTACGAATATACAGCCTCTCCTCACTTAGCGACGTATACTTGTTTACTGACGCCTCGGACTTACGACGGGCTCTCTGACCAGTATGCATGCCTAAATAATGCATACTAGAGCTGATATTCTCTATTCTGTTTATTACAATATACGTACAGTACACCACTATATAAACATTTAAAAATATTCCAGAAATGTTATAAATGGTGCAAAGGTGACATTAAAACAATACTGTATCATAGTTGACACAAACCCACTACCATTATAGTATGCTCCTCACTTAGTGACGAATTCGTTTACTGATGTGGTCTTAGGAACGGAACTCCGTTGTTAAGTGAGGAGAGGCTGTACTTTAGTTATAGCTAAGGCTTCATAAACTTTTCCTTATTTCTTAAAAAGAAGACAAAGAATAAAGGTGATATATGAACAAAAAATAGAACCAAAGATGACACTACTGATCATGCACAGCAGCATTACTAGAGATATTAGATCAGTGCACTGATGTCTTAAAATTAATTGAGAAAACATGGCTGTTGCATTCTGATACCACAGTAGATTCCTTACTGGAAATCACCTGTCAGACTGCAGAGATTTTCTCAAAACATTTGTAGAAAATATAGGTAATATATAAAATTATTCTCTGTATCCTGTATTCAAAATAGTATCTTACTGCTGTATAACAGAAAGGTACCTGTGGTATATAAACATCTTTTTAATTGATCAATATCGTATTTGCATTTTCCTCAATTACTAGGATAGTCTAGGCAGAATCTTTTCTAGTTCTGTTATTTCTCAGTAATTTATTTTCAGTTTAATTAACATTACCCTTTATTATGATTTGCATTTTGTAGCACACAGCTCCTCAACATCGTCAGTATCTGAGCTATGAGGGAATTGGTATTGGTACACCATCTCAGCGACAGAAGCAGTACACAAGCTATCAGGCCCTCAGAGCTTCATCGAATATTATGGACTATAAAGTGAAGAAGGTGTCATCACAGTATCCAGAAATGTCAATGATCACTAAAGACAGGGCTGCTGCCAAGAAAATTCGCACACGGTAAAATTATTTTGATGTTACAGGTTTTTATTATTATTATTATTAAAACACTGGCCGATTCCCACCAAGGCAGGGTGGCCCGAAAAAGAAAAACTTTCACCATCATTCACTCCATCCATTTTAGTGAATGTAATGCAAAAATACTGTAAATGTTATAGGCTTTAACTTTAATAAGTGAAAGGCAAAATTAAGCCCAGGCCTTGTTAATTAATCGAATGTGAAAAAAATAACTGAATCAGTTTGAATTAAGCCACTAATGGATTAATAGTTTTCAGGTATGGCATTGACCGAATAGTGGATGATATGATCCAAGAAGCAATGGCAAAGGGAGAATTCGATAACCTTTCCAATGCTGGGAAGCCACTTGTACAACAGAACTTCAACCCATATGTTGATACTGTCACACACAAGCTAAATCAGGTCTATGTTATACTTGTATCTTGTCACTAATTCATGATTGATAAAGGTTGTCTCTTAAGATGAGCAATCTCGGCTTACAGTATGTGATATCAGTATTTTTTTTTTTTCAACAAGCCGGCCATCTTTCACCGAGCCAGGGTGACCCAAAAAGAAAGAAAATCCCCAAAAAGAAAATACTTTCTTCATCATTCAACACTCACCTCACTCACACATAATCACTGCCTTTGCAGAGGCACCCAGATACAACAGTTTAGAAGCATATGTAAAGATGTATAACATACCCCTCCAAACTGCCAATATCCCAAACACCTCCTTAAAAGTGCAAGCATTGTACTTCCCATTTCCAGTACTCAGTCTGGCTATATAAAAATCACCAGTTTCCCTGAATCCCTTCATTAAATATTACCCTGCTAACACTCCAACAGCTCGTCAGGTCCCAAAAATCATTTGTCTCCATTCACTCCTATCTAACATGCTCACACATGCTTGGTGGAAGTCCAAGCCCCTTGCCCACAAAAACCTCCTTTACCCCCTCCCTCCAACCTTTTCGAGGATGACCCCTACCCTGCCTTCCTTCCCCTACAGATTTATATGCTCTCCATGTCATTCTACTTTGATCCATTCTCTCTAAATGACCAAACCACCTCAACAACCCCTCTTCAACCCTCTGACTAATACTTTTAGTAACTCCATACCTCCTCCTAATTTCCACACTCCGAATTCTTTGCATAATATTTACACCACACATTGCCCTTAGACAGGACATCTCTACTGCCTCCAGCCACCTCGCTGCAGCATTTGCAACCCAAGCTTCACACCCATATAAGTGTGTTGGTACCACTATACTTTCGTACATTCTCTTCTTTGCCTCCATGGATAACGTTTATTTGTCTCCACAGATACCTCAACGCACCACTCACCTTTTTTCCTTCATCAATTCTATGGTTAACCTCATCCTTCATAAACCCATCTGTTGACAAGTCAACTCCCAAATATCTGAAAACTTTCACTTCTTCCATACTCCCTCTCTCCAATGTGATATCCAATTTTTCTTTATCCAAATCATTTGATACCCCTCATCATCTTACTCTTATCTATGTTCACTTTCAACTTTCTACCTTTACACACCCTCCCAAACTTGTCCACTAACCTTTGCAACTTTTCTTTAGAATCTCCCATAAGCACAGTAGCATCAGCAAAAAGTAACTGTGTCAACTCCCTTGTTGTATTTGATTCCCCATAATTTAATCCTACCCCTCTCCCCAACACCCTAGCATTTACTTCTTTTACAACCCCATCTATAAATATATTAAACAACCATTACACATCCCTATCTAAGAACTACTTTTACCAGGAAGTAGTCTCCCACTCTTCTACACACCCTAACCTGAGCCTCACTATCCTCATAAAAACTCTTTACAGCATTTAGTAACTTACTACCTATTCCGTATACAGTGGTACCTCGAGTTTCGTACAGCTCCCAACTTGAACAATTATGTAAGTGTATTATTGTAAGTGCTTTTGTAAGTGTATTTTTTGGGGGGTCTGAAATGGACGAATCTAATTTACATTATTCCTCATGGGAACAAATTCATTCGGTAACGGCACTCAAACAGCCTTCTGGAACGAATTATGGCCGAAACTCAGGGTACCACTGTACTTGCAACATCTGCCACATTGCTCCCCTATCCACTCTATCATATGATATCAATATAAAATACAAAAATATCATCAAAAAATGTTAGCAGAACAGAAATACCCTCATTACTTTCATGCATTTGCACTCGCACCTTCAATGTTCGTGTTCTGTTGAATTTTTTTTTCATGTTTGTATTCACACATTTTATATTGATTTCTTCTAGAGATTGGACAATACTAAATTTTTGGCCGATGCCGATACTGAATTTTAGGTGAATACCATCAAAATTTGCTGATACCTACCAATACTGGTACTGACACCATCAAAATTGGCGAGTACCGATATTCAGTTTCAGGCCGATACCGGCACCATCAAAATTAGCTGATATATACAAGTACTTTGGCACACCCCTTATTTCTTCTCATATGTGTAACATTAGAAATTAGTAGGAATTATACAGAGAAAGATTGGCATTAACAAATATTCTGAAAATATGGAAGTTTTCTACAGTACATACACTATAGTTTAATTTTAAGCAGAGGGCCAGTTTAAGAGTTGTAAGTTTGGATTCAGGAAAAATAAAAGCACTAATGATGCAATCATAAAAATGCTAGATCTGCTTTACACAGCATTGGAAAATAAGGAATATCCACTAGGAATTTTTATTGACCTAAAGAAAAGCTTTTGACACAGTAGACCACGACATCCTACTCCACAAACTTGATCACTACGGTATAAGAGGCCATGCGCTTGCTTATTTCAAATCTTACATTACTAATAGGTATCAGTACGTCACCATTAAAGACACAGCATCAGCAACACGGCCACTTGATACTGGAGTTCCGCAGGGAAGTGTCCTTGGTCCCCTGCTCTTCCTCATATACATCAATGACCTTCCAAACGTATCCCAACACCTGAAACCCATTCTCTTTGCTGATGACACGACTTATGTCATCTCTCACCCTAATCTTGCCACCCTCAACACCATTGTGAATGAGGAGCTGATTAAAATATCGACTTGGATGACAGCCAATAAACTTACGCTTAACACTGACAAAACCTACTATATTATGTTTGGTAGCAGAGCAGGAGATGCACAAATTAACATTAAGATTGACAACACTCTAATTACCAGAAATAATGGGGGAAAATTCCTAGGCTTATACCTTGACAACAACCTGAATTTCAGCACCCATATCCAGCATATAGCCAAAAAAGTATCCAAAACGGTTGGGATCCTCTCCAAGATACGATACTACGTGCCGCAAAATGCCCTTTTCACACTATACCACTCACTTATTTATCCATACCTCACCTATGCTATTTGTGCTTGGGGATCAACTGCAGCAACACACCTAAAGCCAATAATAACCCAACAAAAAGCTGCAGTAAGAATAATCACTAAATCCCATCCCTGGCAACACACCCCCCCACTCTTCATAGATCTAAACTTACTCCCAGTTCAGTACATCCACACTTACTACTGTGCAATCTACATCTACAGGGCCTTAAACTCTAAAATCAACCTTGACCTAAAACGCTTTCTTGATAGTTGTGACAGAACCCACAGGCATAACACCAGACACAAACATCTCTACGACATTCCCCGTGTCCGACTAAACCTTTACAAAAATTCAATGTATGTCAAAGGCCCTAAAATCTGGAATACCCTACCTGAGAACTCTAGAACTGCAGACACATTCATCACCTTCAAAACTACCATTAGAAAACATCTTATCTCCCTGATACACCCCGTCAACTAACTACACGAATACCACCTGGTGGTTCACACTTACACTCACTCACTCATTTGACCATAAACAGAAATATTAATCTCAGTCTTAAAATAATGAATCCTGTGATACTCCAATACTGAAACTATGTACTGTGCCAAAACAAAAGCATTCACATTGCTAAACTCACAAACTAGTATTTAGTCACTTAGCCATAATACCAACTTACCTCATAATTTGTAATATTTTACAATTAAGAATACAGTGGACCCCCGCATAACGATCACCTCCGAATGCGACCAATTATGTAAGTGTATTTATGTAAGTGCGTTTGTACGTGTATGTTTGGGGGTCTGAAATGGACTAATCTACTTCACAATATTCCTTATTTTTTTTTTTTTTTTTTATTATCACACTGGCCGATTCCCACCAAGGCAGGGTGGCCCGAAAAAGAAAAACTTTCACCATCATTCACTCCATCACTGTCTTGCCAGAAGGGTGCTTTACACTACAGTTTTTAAACTGCAACATTAACACCCCTCCTTCAGAGTGCAGGCACTGTACTTCCCATCTCCAGGACTCAAGTCCGGCCTGCCGGTTTCCCTGAATCCCTTCATAAATGTTACTTTGCTCACACTCCAACAGCACGTCAAGTATTAAAAACCATTTGTCTCCATTCACTCCTATCAAACACGCTCAAGCATGCCTGCTGGAAGTCCAAGCCCCTCGCACACAAAACCTCCTTTACCCCCTCCCTCCAACCCTTCCTAGGCCGACCCCTACCCCGCCTTCCTTCCACTACAGACTGATACACTCTTGAAGTCATTCTGTTTCGCTCCATTCTCTCTACATGTCCGAACCACCTCAACAACCCTTCCTCAGCCCTCTGGACAACAGTTTTGGTAATCCCGCACCTCCTCCTAACTTCCAAACTACGAATTCTCTGCATTATATTCACACCACACATTGCCCTCAGACATGACATCTCCACTGCCTCCAGCCTTCTCCTCGCTGCAACATTCATCACCCACGCTTCACACCCATATAAGAGCGTTGGTAAAACTATACTCTCATACATTCCCCTCTTTGCCTCCAAGGACAAAGTTCTTTGTCTCCACAGACTCCTAAGTGCACCACTCACTCTTTTTCCCTCATCAATTCTATGATTCACCTCATCTTTCATAGACCCATCCGCTGACACGTCCACTCCCAAATATCTGAATACGTTCACCTCCTCCATACTCTCTCCCTCCAATCTGATATTCAATCTTTCATCACCTAATCTTTTTGTTATCCTCATAACCTTACTCTTTCCTGTATTCACCTTTAATTTTCTTCTTTTGCACACCCTACCAAATTCATCCACCAATCTCTGCAACTTCTCTTCAGAATCTCCCAAGAGCACAGTGTCATAATAAATTCGGTCAGTACTGGCACCTGAACATACTTCTGGAGTGAAAAAATATCGTTAACCGGGGGTCCACTGTAAAACTAAGTCTGCCCGAAATGCCTAACCATGCTAAGCGTTCTAGTGGTACACTCTGTAATCACAATTTTACTACATGTAAACCACACAATAACCAAATTTCTGTAAACTCAGCATTGTAATCCTTATAGAGAATAAACTTTGAATTGAATTGAAAAAAAGCAAAACTGGGTCAGGGTGAAGTAATGGTGAATGATTGTGGCACACATTAGATGGTGACTATTGCGACCCCTGAATGGGTCACAATGTATATAATGTATATTACCTGTTCTTATAATTTTATATTGCTTATATTTGCGATAATAGCTAAATCGTAAATATATTGCTTTATATTATTATTTGACTTAGTTATATTATTAGGTAGGATGTAACATTTATATATATTATTCAGTGCTCATAGTTAGGTAGGATGTAACATTTATATATATTATTCAGTGCTCATAGTTCAACTCTTGATTGTCTAACTACTGTAATTATCGCTCGTTGTTAGTTTCCCTGCCAGCTTCTCGGTGTTGCTGGGCAGCAACAGTCCACGGAGAAATCACGTGATCAGAAGGGTGGGTGTTCACACCTCGCCTGGAGTAGTCAGTCTGGGCTAGACTCTCTTGGTGGTTGGACGTATTCCTGACAAGACATGCCTAACTCTCCCTTATTGGCCCTTGTTGGAGAATCGTCTCTGTCGCTTTCTTGTTGTTGGTTCTGTAGAACTCTGCTCACAGAACATTGTCTAGACTCGGTGATTTTCGACGTTGTACTGAGGTTGTGTCGCATAAACACTCTGAGCAACTCAGGTCCTGAGCTGTAGCTTCTGACCTAACTTGTATTGGTATCTGTGTATTGTCACAGTTGGGGATTTTCTTATGCTGAACTTAGATTCAGTAGTATGGGAGTTTTGTGACTTTTGTGGAGGATCTGCAGATGGTCCTAGTTGAGTTTTGAGACATAGCGAACTACTTAGAGCACTTACACACATACACACAAACTTATTTGTATATATTTGTATTATTAAATGTTTATGTACCAGACGGTACTTAAAACGTATAAATGTGATATGTGCCTTCAGCACAATACTACTGTACACGAGAGAAGTGTAGGAACTTGTATCCTATATTATATTCAATTGATTAATTTAATTTACTTTGATCTTATACCTCGAGACTTTGTTATTAATAAATTTATTAAATTTTAATTTCTCTAGTTAGTAGCCTACCAGTTGTAATCCTGAAGCACTAATAATTCTTATTGAATTCTAATGGATAATTGGACCAGGATACTGACTACTTGTTACGAAAACCCAGTAACAGGCTGGATGCTAGAAGGGCAGTCCTTTCTAGTATTCACTGGAGATCTCTATGCTTATTAGAAATCGCATTTTTTGTAACAGTGACACACATTTGCTGACTGGAAGTGTTGCTGTTCCGAAGGCAGAATCAAGACAGGAAAATGCCTGAATAGTAATTTTTGAGATTTTCAATTATTAAATATGCAGGAAGAAGACATTTTTGACAAATAAGATGGGTTTGGATATTGATGTTTTGAAGGGTCATCTGAAATGTGATTTCTGCATATTTGGCAAGACAGCTAGTGAATGAGTACTGATTTTTTTTTTTTGTGGGGGGAAGGGTGTGTCACCCTGCCTGGTGAGAGATGGCTAATGTGGCACAAAAAAAATATAGAAAGGAGATTCCCATATACTGTATAAAAGTTAAGAAGTTTCCATTCACCATTAATTTTATGGGAAATTTTACACCCTTTCCTAATTGAAATTAAGAATTTTTAACTTACTCATAAAATTTGGAATTTCAGATATTAAAAGAATATATATAATACTAACAACTATATTTAATTATTTTTCTCTGTTTAGGTACTGATAAATAATGGTTATGCTCCAGAATGGGTCATGTTAGAAAAAGAATTAAGGGAAGACCGAACATATCTTCGAAAGATGCTGCGAAAGGAGCGGGAAAAGCTTGGTCCTTTGCCATTAACCCCACAAGAAGAGGTGATATTTACTTCTTTACAATGTTTAAATTATTTTAGGTAATGTAAATTATCTGATAAGACATGAGGGATTTGCATATCATAAAATTATGATTTAAAATAATTCTTAATGCTGCCTAACTCTGTATTGCAGGTTCTTTGGAAGTCATTCCAGGAACGCCTTCAGGACACCATAAAATCAATGAATAAGAAAATTGATAAATATAATTTGATAGTTCCATTACTTACTAAACAAATGACACATTTTCCTCTGAAATTAGAAGCAGAAAAGGCTTTAAATGAAGGGTTATCAAAGGATTATATAGCAGAAATGAAGAAGGAAAAAGATCCCCCTGAAAGAAGACAATTTCTCAGCACATTCAGTTTATTTGGATTGTTTAAAAATTAGTAATTTATCAAAAATAGTTTCTACATGTATAATATTCGATAGTACACCATTCTAATTTAATGTAAAAAATTACACAGTAAAATTTACTGTAAATGTGCTGTATGTGTAAATGTATTGGGAGGGAGGGAGTGTGGAAGGAGTACATGTATTGAGACATCTAAGAGTGGAAATGTCAGTAGATGCATACATGAAAAATGAAGCAAACCATAGAATAAATGAGGGTGGAAAAAGATTGGTAGTGTATTTTAAGTAACTGTGGAATGCCAGTTTAACCACTGAGGGAAAAAAACAGGAATGTACCAAAGTTTTGCAGTACAACATTTTTATATGGGTGTGAGGCATGGGTTTTGAATGCTGCAGTGAGGAGGCTAGAAGCAGCAGTGATGCCATGTTTGAGGGCACTGCATGGTGTAAATATCATGCAGAGAAATTAGAGCCTAGAAATTAAAAGGTGATGTGGAGTCATCATGGGTATAATTGAGAGGGCTGAGGAGGGGTTTTGAGGTAGTTTGAGCATGAAGAGAGGATGGAGAGGGATAGGATGACAGAGGGTGTATAAATCCGGGGTGGAAGGTAGTGGGGGGTAGAGAGTCATCCCAGGAATGGTTGTTAGAAAGGATAAGAGGGGCTTTTAGTTCTACGGCATGAGCATCCAGCAGGCTTGTGTGTGCATGTGCTGCACAACCCTTGTGGATTTAGCTGTTCCACAAGGTACATTACTTTACCCTATCCTTTTCCTTACCCTCATATCTGACAGGCAGAGATGTAAGCTACAGCATTGTGTCCTCCTTTGTTGATGATACTAAATTTCCATGACAGTGTCATCCATCGAAGACACTGCAAATCTCCAAGCAGACATTAACCAAGTCTTTCAATGGGTGTCAGAAAACAATATGAAGTTCAGTGAAGAAAAATTTCAATTACTCCACTGTGGAAAACCTGAGGAAATAAACTGTATCAGAGTATAAAACAAATTCCAGTCATACAATTGAGCTAAAAACTAGTGTGAAGGACCTTGGAGTTGTAATGTCAGAGAATCTCACTTTCAAAAATCACAGCAATGTATCTACCACATCTGCTAGGAAAATGATGGAGAGGGATAATGAGAACATTTAAAACTAGGGATGCTAAGCCTGTGACGATTATCTTCAAATCGCTCGTTCTCTCTAGGCTATGTTACTGTACACTATAGCGACCCCTTTCAAGGCAAGCAAAATTGGAGACCTGGAGAACATACAGAGAACTTTCACTGCATGTATAAGTACCATAAAGCACCCAAATTACTGGTAATGGTTGAAGGCCCTTGACCTGTACTCCTTGGAATACAGGCGAGAAAGATACATGATGATACATATACACTTGGAAAATCCTAGAGGGACTAGTTTTAAATTTACACAGAAATCACTCCCTGTGAAAGCAAAAGACTCGGCAGGAGATGCAACATCTCCCCAATGTAAAGCAGGGGTGCCACGGTACACAGAGACAGCATAGTAAGTGTCATCTGCTTCCCAGCATACATAAGGGGGGGGGTTACCAATAGACCCCTGGCTGTCTTCAGAAAGGAGCCAGACAGGCACCTAAAGTCAGTAATTGACCAGCTGGGCTGTAGTTCCTATGTTGGTTTGTGTGCAGCCAGCAGTAACAGTCTGGTTGATCAGGCCCTAATCTACCTCAAGGCCTGGTCATAGACTGTGCCACAGGGTGTCGACCCTCGGAATACCCTCAAGGTAATAATAATTGTGTGTACATGTGCAATAGGAATGCATGTAGACAAGCAGTTATGAATGAACGTGGTGTTGGAGTGTGAGCAAGGTAATTTTTATGAAGGTATTTAGAACAATGCGAAATGCTCATGCATTCTAGAAGTTTTCTTTGTACTTTACAATATTTTATTACAAGTATGTAAACTATACATTGTACGGTACAAAGAAATAAAAGATTTGAATTTTGAAAACCAGGTAGAGTTGTGAAAATGGGAAAGGCAGTGCCTGCATTCTGAAGGAGGGGTGGAGGTCTTGCAGTCAGAGGGTAATCTGATTTTTAACGTGAGCACATTTCTGGAAAGATGGTTAGCGCTTCTTTTTTATTATAATAATAATTATAATAATCTGGAAAGATGGAAGTTGAAATTATTATTATTATTATAATCAAGGGGGAAGTGCTAAACCCGGAGGATTATACAGCGCCTGGGGGGGGGGATGTGGAAGGCATTCAGGCTTAATTCGGGGAACTGGAGCACAGATCCAATTCCCTAAATCAAGAGCCCCTCACCAACATCAAGGAACCTTCCTTGAGGGGATGGAAGTTGAAAGAATTATAGTGAATGAGTTTTCTGTGGATTACCCTGCCTTTGTGGGAGACAGTCATTTTAGACAATGTATACAGAGAGAGAAAAGAAAAAAATAGGAGAACAAATGTGAGATAGTGCATGCGTACATATGGACGTTCGTGTGTGTGCACTCGTATACTGCACACGCACTATACATGAATTTATTTGTCAAATTGCTCACACGTGCTGAATAAACCGTGAATACTTTCCGATATATTTGTTTTATTTTCAGCCTTTTTTTTTTTTTTTAAATTTCAAGCTGGTGTAGATAAACAGATGTGATAAGGTTTATGATGATTTAGGAAATGGTTTATACTCCATGGCTGTGAGATTATGGTAGTTCTCCCTGCCAACTATTATAACTATTGTTCCCGTGTTGTATAACCCACACAGGTTTATCACATTGTGTGTGAATGTGATTATGACACTTTTGTTCTGGCTACTGAATTTCACTGCACATCCAGGATGCATGGGTATGCCATTCTAAAAATTCATATTTTAAGGGAAATAATCACCCCTTGTCAGTTTAGCGCTTTATTTGATTATAATAAGGGAAATAATGCCTTTCAATGGAGGGTTCTTGCTGCCAGTGAAGAGCTCTTGATCTAAGGAAATGAAAAATTAAAAGGCACATTATTATTATAATCTCCTCAAGGGAGGTTCCTTGACGCTGGTGAGGGGCTCTTGATCTAGGGAATTGGATGTGATTATATTATAATCAAAGGGGAGCGCTAAACCTGTAGGATTATGCAGTACCTGTGGGGGGATGTAGAAGGTATTCAGGTTTAATTCAGGGAACTGGAGCACAGATCCAATTCCCTAGATCAAGAGCCCCTCACCAACATCAAGGAACTTTCCTTGAGGGGATAAAAAAGGCACAATACCGTGACTGGAACAATGCACAAATAACCCAAACACAGGAGAAACTCATGACCAAGTTTGAGTGCTACTTGGACTTGTAATTAGTGACACACGAAGGTACAGATAGGTTCTCCAGGGCGAGTACTGGCCTGGTTCTCCAAGCGGTCACTCTTCAGTGGCTCCCGAAGGAATGTCGGAGATTGTACCGTTGACAGTCCAATTATGGGGGCAGCCCTATGACAAGGATACGGTGAGTCTTCAGGTCAGGTGGAGTACCGTTTACAGCCCTTTAACAAGGGCACGGTGAGTTTTCTTCAACATCAGTGGCCTGGTGGCTAAAGCTCCCGCTTCACACACGGAGGGCCCGGGTTCGATTCCCGGCGGGTGGAAACATTTCGACACGTTTCCTTACACCGTTTGTCCTGTTCACCAAGCAGCAAATAGGTACCTGGGTGTTAGTCGACTGGTGTGGGTCGCATCCTGGGGGACAAGATTAAGGACCCCAATGGAAATAAGTTAGACAGTCCTCGATGACGCACTGACTTTCTTGGGTTATCCTGGGTGGCTAATCCTCCGGGGTTAAAAATCCGAACGAAATCTTATCTTATCTTATCTAGCAGTTAGCTGCATCACTTGTGTTGATGCCGTGAAGCTGGGGTACATGTGTATAGTCCTTGTGGCTTAGCGCTTCTTTTTGATTATAATAATAATGGGGTACATGTGCATGTCTGGTTCAAGTGGTGTCTTGGTTCAGGTTTGTACGAGTGTGAATCATCTCCAGCTCAAGTCACTTTGTCTGACTTATCCTAGGTTCTCTACACATATGCTGCTATGTATGATAATCTATGTAACTGTATTTGTGTATACCTGAATGAACTTATTCTGCTACCATTTCTAACACTCGGGTCGCAGCACGAGTGCCAGAGTATTGGCATAATAATACCAGTAACTACGAACCAATAAAAATACAATAAAATAACTTTTACTATTGTTTTTAATATGTATTATTATTTTCTAAACAATTTGTAAGTTCAAGCGCCAGGAACACAACTTATTTGTAAGTTGGAAGACCTCCTGTATCTAAATAAACTTTCTGGAGTATTACAAAATGTAGTTTACATGTAATAAAATATTAATCACAAAAAAAGCCACTAGCATTCTGTGCTTTTTATAAGACACAACGTTCTCTGACACTAAGCACAAGAGAGCATATGACATGTATGGATATAAACAAAGACAGGTTAATAAATGTATCTCACACATAACCTACAAATACGAGATATTATTATTATTATAATCGAAAAGACAAATACGAGATAATGTTTAGACATATCGGTTTGTCCTGGACTATGACAGTGACGGCTCGTAATGCTAGAACGGAATGAAAAATCCTCTATTTATCTTCAGTTTGTAAGTTAATCAGAATGGAGTAGATGTGTTGTTCATCCATCTTAAGATTGATGGACTAAACACATCTACTTCAGGTTGATGGACTGATTATCTCATTCTCTTCCTCATCTTTCACCTTTCTTCTCTGTACTGGGCTGAAGAAGCCACTGATTGGCTTCTTCAGCCTCAATAAAGATTTTCAAATGTTGCACAAGTGTTTTTTCTCAACTTGTCTGTTTTCTAAACATCACAACACTCTCCTTCCATTACTGAGTCGTTAATTATATGACTCAGTTGGCCCAGTGACTTACGCACTGGCCTGGGTTTCACGACTCACCTGCCAGGGGTTCTAACCTAACCCGTTCCCTGCTGGGGTTATTCTACCGGAATATCGTCCCTTCAAGGATGAACTGACACTCTAAACTTTGGTATAAACCTTGGTAACTGATACCGACATATTGGTTTAAGAAGAGACGTGAGCAAACACTAGTACATATGTGATGAATGAGATCTTGATACAAAGAATTCTCTAAAACTTGTCCAACCTCTGGACGAAGACCTACTTCGATTAGTGGATGGTACCACCATGACCCCGCCTCCTCCTGCTTCGCCTCATCTGATTACAGATATAAGCCACGTCTACGGCCCTATGCTGTACATTCTACAAGATTGATGGACTGAACACATCGACTCCAAGCTGAGGGACTGATTACCTCAAACTCCTCCTCTCGTTACACCTTTCTGTTTTGTGTTAGGTAAGACACATATGCAACAGTTAGGTATCTTTATTTCGAAACGTTTCGCCTACACAGTAGGGTTCTTCAGTCGAGTACAGAAAAGTTGATAGAAGCAGAAGATACTTGAAGACGATGTAATCAGTCCATCACCCTTAAAGTTTTGAGGTGGTCAGTCCCTCAGTCTGGAGAAGAGCATTGTTCCATAGTATGAAACAATATGGAGATGAAGTGACAGGATGGAGCCTTATATAGCGCCAAGAGGTGAGACGTAGGTCACTAGAAGAGGTAAGAACTCAGATGTTGGGAGGTCAGGTCCCTCTCAAATCCAACCGTTCTCACTAGTAGAGGTTGTCGAAGTTGACTGTAGGTCTGTACCAAGATACCCTTGTGTTGCAGTGTCTGACAGATTGAACATTAAAATGGTATAAAATACCGACAGGTTGTTAGGTAAGACACATATGCAACAGTTAGGTATCTTTATACCATTTTAATGTTCAACCTTTCTGTTTTGTATTGGACTGATGAAGCCACTGTGTGGCGAAACGTTTCCTCAATAAAGATTTCGATATGTTGCATAAGTTAACTAGGACATAGTTATTAGAAAACGTTTCGGTCCTGGAACCTTAATCACTTCTAACACATTTAATTTGGAATGAGACACAACTCGTTCTCACCGAATAAGATCTTAGACGCCGACGATGTCTGCAAGCCTCGCTAATCGCCGTCACTCACATCAGAGAACATAATACTGGAAGCTACAAATTCTTTTTGATTATAATAATAATAATTGGAAGCTACAAAATTTCAAAAGCATTAGAATACATGATACTCAACCAGGCAAAGCACCACCTACCTAACAATACCAGGAATCACATGACTTCACTGTCTACATGTCCTCATCTCAAATGCCATTCTTCAGGTCACTATGTGCTACTCACACCCCACTTTCCGCCTATATATACCGTCATTTTACTCTCTCTCTCTGTTAGAAGGTCCAAGGACCGAAACGTTTTATAATAAATTTGTAGTGTTTGTTAACGTGTCTTCTTAAACCTCTCCAAACCTAAGCGCAAGGCAGCACAAAACCAATTCTTCCTCCCGGTATTTCAGCAGCCTTGGGCATTATGACTATGGTTCCTTTTTTCAAGTGTGAATGGTTCATTACCCATGTAACTTGTTCAGCTATCAAAACTTTGGGGCCCAGTCCTTGGACCCATTATGTACCTCTGTAATCTTTTCGACTACCGCCCACAGGATGGGTACGGGATAAATAACATTAAACTAACTTCGTGGATAATGGCACTGTTCAGGATGATGGGGCCACACTTCATGGATGATGACGTCGTTGTGGATGATGTTGATGGTTTCACACCTGGATAATGACATTGCCCTGCATGATGATGGTGCCATAAATCTTGGATGCTTTAGCCACCAGACCCGGTGGCCTGGTGGCTAAAGCCCCCGCTTCACACACGGAGGGCCCGGGTGCGATTCCCGGCGGGTGGAAACATTTCGACACGTTTCCTTACACCTGTTGTCCTGTTCACCTAGCAGCAAATAGGTACCTGGGTGTTAGTCGACTGGTGTGGGTCGCATCCTGGGGGACAAGATTGAGGACCCCAATGGAAATAAGTTGGACAGTCCTCGATGACTCACTGACTTTCTTGGGTTATCCTGGGTGGCTAACCCTCCGGGGTTAAAAATCCGAACGAAATCTTATCTTATCTTATCTTAATGATCTTGAAATACACTTCCGGGTCAAGTGTGGCTAGGTCCAGCTGTCCTGATGTATCACATCTGTCTATGGAAATAATTCAATGTTTGATTTTATTGAGGTATCCAAGCGTAATTTTAATGTGTAATATTTACGCGTCTTAACATCCGTGCGCCTCGAAACCATTGTAGATTCTAAATAATAATTTACTTAACCTGCATGAAAGTGGTCGAGGTGAACATTATGTTCAAAGTGAACAATGAACATGTTGCTATACGTCAAACTGTAAGTCTTAAATACAATCACTGACACGACTTTCAGATGATTGTGAGGATAGGTCTCCCTTGACATGCCTTCCAAGAGAACGGTAAGTGCTTTGATGTAGGTAGAGGGCTTTTGATCCATGAAACTGGAGCTATCCACTTCTTCCACAGATCAAAGCTGTTTGCCTCTCATTCCCCGGGCGCTGTGTTAACCTTACGGATTCAGCGCATTAAGTTATCCTGGCGAC